AAGTTTTTATAAAATATGCATTTAACTTTTTTTTGACTAATACTAAGAACTTCAGATAGCATCAAAACAATCCCCTCCAACATACACACATTTAAATAATGAAAAGAGTCAAGTCCCACAAACTTCAACTCTTTTCAAATGATAGAAGGGATTTGAAAATGGTGATTTTTTTGGTGGAAGCCAAAACAAAGAAAGAAATAATTTTGAGTATTTTTGTTATCACTTTACTTGGTGAAGACAACAATGTGATTACTTTTCCGTCACTATGTTTTGTAAATAGTCCACTGTATGCGAATGTTCATACAAAAATCAAATGATGTCTGCCACTTTTGGTTATCAAGCTCAAAGTTTTTTGAATACGAAGTTTTCATATGCTATTGTTGTACAATAAATGCTAACCATACAAATTTCAAAAGCAACCTAGTCATTGATTTGGTAGAAACATCTAACCTCAATCTGAATGCATACACTGGATTTAAAGAAGTAATAGATAACAATGAGGAGAGGATTACTTATGAAAGAAATATGTTGTGAAGTTTCTACCTAATTTGAATGACGATCGAATAGACACGGGGAATAGGAAAAAACCTAAACAGAACTCGGCCAGCGACAAGCAACCTTGTATCAAATAGAGAGATGTAAGATCAAAGAAAATTGAGGCAAACAATGTTTAAGGTCTTCAAGAAAACAAAACAAAAGTTTAAATCGTTTTAGAGAAGAAGAAAACGGGTTGAAATGTGAATGACTCTACGATTACAATCTAAACAAACATACCTCGTTCAAGAACATGGATGGAGATATTGTGAGAAGAAAACCTAAGGTTTTGAAGAACTCTACAATAGATGAAGAATGTAACAAAGAATCTCGATAAATGAAGTGAGCAAGAGATGGAAAAATCGAAAGAGTAATACACCTCATCGAGAATGGCAATCGTTGCCTTGAGCCAGGATCAAAAGTTCCCAAGGCGATTTTCATCGAGTTGTGCATGCATGCCTCCTCGATTAAGAGATTTTGAGATTCATACAAAAAATTAAGATATTTAAGATTTTGTGCATGAAAGAGTTGTACTTTATGCAGTGTGGATTGTTTTTAAGACTTTTATGAAATTTGATTTATAAGGCAATATAAGGCAACTAGGAGGGTATCGTGCAATGCAACGAGATACATTTTGATTTTAATATTTCATATTATTTTTTATCTCAAACGATGTTATAGTACGATCTTATATAATTTTGAAAAAGCGATAATGTTTTTATTTTTGAATAAAATATAAATTTAAAAATATCATAAAAAATTGACAAAAATTTATCGATATTAGTATCAAATTAACTATTTAAAATTTTTATTTTTATGTAATTTTTTTATTATAATTTANCCATTGGGTAGAACAAAAACAGGTGGAAAGCCGGACATTAGAGTGGAATCGATGGTGAGAGAAACACCTTCAAGTTTTGACACAACAATCACTGATAGAGGTGGTGTGACATCAGCGGTGATTTGYAGCTTGAACTCCATCATCAATGCTTATTATAATCACAACTTGAGCTCCAMAAAAAGTTAAACACTATAACCACCGTTCTTAAAATTAAAACATAATATGGTGCAAATCAAAGCAAGATGCAACACTGTGGAGTTGTCTAAAAGGTTAAAGTGATATTAAAATGAAAGTTCTTGGTCTAAAGTTGTACAAAAGTTCTGCTAGAAATGGGATGATATAGCAGAAGATTTTATACCATTTAGTAAATTTAAAAAACTAAAGCAAACTTAGAACATTTCAAAACAACGAGKTGGCGATTAAAGTTGTGGAGTTACCACATGGACCTACCAGAAATACATCAAAATTAGAATGGTTAAAACGAACCACCAACAGTATAAATATAAGAGAACCCATAATTCTAACTTTCTAAGAACTCATAAAAAAGACAAAACAAATACAGGCAAAGAAAGAGAAATTTTGCCACCTTCAAAGTCTATAAAAACAACATACAAATTATGATATCATATTGATGGGAAATGAATAGTTCCAATAATATCATACAATATTGAAATGGATACCTGTTCAATGACTGAAAAATAATATAACTGGGAAAATAATATAACTGGGCCTACAAAAGAGATTCGAAGACAAAAGTTTTTATAAAATATGCATTTAACTTTTTTTTGACTAATACTAAGAACTTCAGATAGCATCAAAACAATCCCCTCCAACATACACACATTTAATAAACAGTAATTTATGCATAAAAAAATGGTTTTAAGAGTTTTTGTCAAATACTTTATAATATAGTATAGATATAGATATAAATATAGATTTATGCAATGTAGGTTGTTTTTAAGACTTTTATGAAATTTGATTTATAAGATAGTGTAAATATAAGCATAGATATAGAGATAGATGAGAAGATAGACAATTAATAATTATTTTAGAATTAAAAAAAATTATAGATATCGAAATTTGTTTACTACATATTCCAAGAGATTTTGTTGATCACGCGTGCTCTCCCCAGATTCCCCTCCGCGTATCCACCATCCAACAATCCTCTATCACTACCACCTGACCTGCGTAAATAAAGCACACAAATATCAAAACCCACCTACTTCTTTCTCCTCCATCACCAACAGATCAACAACATCTTTGGACTTTTCTTTCACGAATCTGACTTTGGGTATGTTTTAGCTCTTCATTTTCTTTACCCAACTCTAGTCTCATTTCTTGTTTCATATTAAGGATCAAGAAGATCTTTGGAGTCTTGTTTCAAAAAATTGACCTTCTTCCAGGAATCTGAATTTTCATCATCAAATTCTAGGTGTTTGTGGTCATTTCTTGTTTYATATTAAGAACCATCGTGAGTTTAATTGCACAAGAGATCAAGAAGATCTTCGATGTTTTCAGTTTCATCTTTTTTCGAATTTGGGTGTGTTTTAGCTGTTGTATTAGGGGGTATTTGCGATTGCTTATGAACACTCTTTAATACATTTGTTTTGTATTAAAGATCAAGAAATATTGGGAACTCAATCTCTGTGAAATATTTATGTTTCCAGCTCAAGTTCTATGATCTATTCTTTTAGTTTCATGGRATCTTTTGTTGAACAAATATGTTCATGTAAATTATTCTACTGCTTTAGATCTTTGATTAAAGTGGTTTGTTCATAAACTTGTGTGAAATTATATTATGTTTGTGCACTCATTTGTTTTCATCTTCTTCTCTTTCAACTCATCAAGAAAGGCTTACTAAACTAGAATGGASTTGCACCCAAATCAGGGGCTCTGTCCCTATGGGKTTAGCATAAGATTGATGCTTGATTATGATCATTTGTGTAATCTCTCAATTCCAAAGCATTCAGCTGAGCCCATATAATCTCTAACACTATTGAAAGTATTGAGTATGGTAGGAAGTTATTAGTAACCTGCCACCAAGAGCTTTCAATTCATATATGTGATGATGTGGAAATGGTTGCCACAATTTGCATATTTGTAGATGATAGAAAAAGGAGATATAAATTATAAGTTGTGATGAAAAAATGGGTATGGCCAAGCTGGAATTGCTCAAGTGATTGAAACCTACTTGGGAATTGAAATGATAAAAACTGTGTTAATGGTTGGAGGAAGAATGTTTCATCTTGAGCATTTGGTCTTTTGAGATTCAAACCACGATAAGGATATGGGTTCTTAGGGTCTCCATGAAGATAATTGCTATAATCTTCGAGGTAGACGTCATTTCTATGTACGTCTCAACCCGCATACCTACATTCAAATGGGATTGGGGTTGTTTGTTTACCTCTTAATAGTTCCATTAATAGGCAGACTCTGAATCGTTAAGAGGTGAATCTTATTTGGCAAAAAAAAGTCTTGCTTCTTAATGGTTCTAAAACCCTCTGAATCATTTTGTATCATGGGCCTCCTTTAACCATTAAGCGCCTTAATTTCATTGTAAACAATTACCAAACAATTATATTTCATTTTGCACTATATCATGAGAGTCTCTTAATAATTCTGACCACTTAATCATTTTGCACTGAACCATTCAGCAACTGCCAAACAACCCCTTACTGGCTCGGTTTGATTTGGTTTTTAGATGTTTATGGTTGTTTTCGTGTTGAGATAGGTTGTTCATCAATGGATTCATTATCCATTGGGTAGAACAAAAACAGGTGGAAAGCCGGACATTAGAGTGGAATCGATGGTGAGAGAAACACCTTCAAGTTTTGACACAACAATCACTGANCCATTCAGCAACTGCCAAACAACCCCTTACTGGCTCGGTTTGATTTGGTTTTTAGATGTTTATGGTTGTTTTCGTGTTGAGATAGGTTGTTCATCTTGGTCATATGCGATGCTCAATATTTGAGAAAAACGGTATTAATTCTTTGTGACTCAAAGTTATGGACCAAGTTAGGAGAGTTGACCACCCAAAGTGCAATGTCTTAAGTCACTATTCGGTTGAACTGCACAAAAAGGTATGATGCTGCCACCTCTACCATACTGTCCCTGAGGTAGTTGGGTGGTGCTTGGAGTTGAAGCCTGAACCTCCAATTGTTTTGGAAGGATGGCCACCTCCTTACCTGCCAGGCTCAATAATGTCTGAGAGACCTGTATTCTATCAATTATCAAACCAAAGGGTCTTTGGCTTAGCATCATAACTGGTAGATCCCAACCTTCTTGTAGGCCAACGGTAAAGGTGAGGAATGTGTGTGAGTTTTCGTATATATAAATATCATATACTAAAAAAACATCCATTATTCAACTTTAATATTATATATTTATCGAATGTTATATCCTTGATGAATACCTGATGTGCAATGGTACCTATCATCATCCCCAAGTGTAACACATGTACAGAAGTAGTTTAAGAATTGATTTGTGTTTCAATTTTTATTTCTGATCATGCTTTTTGTGGTTATGGTGTAGGGGGGTCATTCTAAAATTGATTTTGAAGGAGAAATAAAGCAACATGCCTTGGATCTCTCTCGGAGTGAATTATTGTAAAACTAGCTTTCGCTTAGCTGTCTTCTTTCGTTTCATACTGTAATTTGATTTCTAAGGTAAACTTGCATCTGATTTTGTTTATTATTGATATTCATTCGTCATATGTTCGTTTATAGTATCAACCTCCCAAGATAGTGTCAATATATTCATTCTAAGAACTAAAAGTTCAGTGTAAAGAAACCAAACAAGCAGACTTAGTATATCTCACTCGAAAATAGAGTCTGGGGGTGGGATGTACGTTCTCGACCCTGAAAATCCGCAGATTTATAAGAAGTAAAACTTAAGTTTTCTACAGATACAGGTGATGTTTGCTTACATCTTAACTCAGACCCTACTTATATTGAGTTTGTTTGATTTGGTTTTGCAATCTTCCGCTATCTTTAATCTACAACCAGAACATATTTTATCATCTTCGAAGTTACACAAGTCAACTATTAGCGTTTTATGGATATGAAGAAGTAGCATTAATACCAATGTATTTTGCGTTTCTTGCAGGCGTGTTTTTGGTAGTTCTTGTTATTATTCATTTGTGAATATTGGTTGGAGGACTGAGAATGTTCATTGGTGTTGGACAAAAGAGAATTCAAACAGTGAAGGAAGTTGCTAAACGTAAAATGAGTGTTGGGATCATTGCCTATTACAATTTGATGCAAGTTTGTCAGGTAAATTAATCTTCTTTACTATACTTGTTGTAGGCGAAGGATCATGTGAGAAGGAGAGTTAAGGTGACAAGCCTACAACGGGATCTGAACCCTTGATCACGTTTAATTTCAAACCCACCCATGAATCGCCCATTTGTGTAGAAAGGTGTACCCTTTGACTTTTGTGGTCAAGTAACTGATTTTCTTGGGTACAAATTGATTAGGATATAGTTTATCTGGAGTAGTATGCAATTCCAATTCTCATTGCTGCCAATTGCAAACTCTTAATCCTCAAAATCATTTCGGTTTTGCATTTAAAACATGACATTTGACCGCAAAGGTCAAAGATGTCTGTTTGACCTCAAAAGTCAGCATCCATCTTTCTTTAGAACCGACGGACCAATGGTTGACTTTAGAAATGCACAAAAAATTCCCTGGCCTGACAAAGTCCACTTATCAAGTGAAGTAATTTTTTCAGACTTGGTTAAACCGGTCCAGGAAAAGCCAGATTGGGTCCATTTTCACACCCAAAGCCTGCCTGACCCTTTTGAAGGCCTGGGCCAGCCCAAAAGGCTGATCAGGCGAAGTATTGTTTCCAAGACTTGGTTAAAGCCCGTCCCATAAAAGCCCGATTGGGTCCATTTTCGCACCCAAAGACCGCCCAGCCGTTTTGAAGGCCTGGGCCGGGCCAAAAGGCTGATCAGGCGAAGTATTGTTTCCAAGACTCGATTAAAGCCCGTCCCAGAAAAGCCCGATTGGGTCCACTTTCACACCCAAAGCCAGACCCTGTTGAAGGCCCAGGCAGGGCCAAAAAGGCTGATCAGGCAAGGTATTGTTTCCAAGTAGAGATGGCCAAATGGGCCCGGCCCGGCCCGTAACCGACGGAGGACCGGGACCG